CAAAATTTTTTTCGGGTAAGTTCATAACTCGGGGATCTGAGAAGCTAGAACGCTGAAATCTTAGGATGATGTTCCACCTCCACCTAAGTTTCATTCAGCTCAAACCTAGGTCTCGGGTATGCGTGTTAGGCTCCTACGGGCCCATGAAAATTTTTTTCCAGTTAGTTAACTCAGGAGCCAGGGAAGCTGGAAAGCTGAAATTTCAAGGGGAGTGTTTTCTGACAGTTCTGTCGGCCAGTTTTAATTTGTTTAGCTATATCCATTTGCCGAAAAAGCCGGTGCCAGTAGCAACAAAAACTTGAGGGAACTATGCAAAAAACGCATCTTCGCATGGGCAGCCCATGCGTTGGCCAATTATTCGAATTGGTTTAGAGCATCCATACACTTGCAGTGACTTAAAAATCAAAGAAATCACTTCCTCTTGTCGCATGCGGTTTTGCAATTCATTTTCAGGGAGGTGTAGTGATTGTTTCGCACGATGAGAAACTAATCAGCATGGTTTGTAAGGAGTTATGGGTTGTCAAAGACCGTACAGTGATGCATTTGGAAGGGGGTATCGAGGAGTATAAAAGACATGTCCGCTCGCAACTTGCTCTGTGATCTTCTTACTGTGCCGGGTTCATTTTGGAAATTTTGCCAATCTTTAGAAGCAAAAAAAAAGCATCATTAAGCTCGTGCAATCTTTTGTTTGCGATTACACAATGTGAGCATTTTGCAGCATTTGCTCATTAAAAACATTTTTGGTTTTTTAACAGAGATTGGCGTTTTAATACTTGAGTTATAATTGCAGTACTTGACTGTAAATCCATAGTTTGTCTATCCAGTTATACCTCTGGCAACTTTTCCATTTGCTTTGATTTGCGTGAGAGTCAGTCTGATGGCTATACTAACCTGCACTTGACGTTCGGAAACAGTTACCAAACAGTAGTTCTCTCGTAAGTACTTGAACGTTTCAAGGCGTTATTTATGTCTTTTAGTCATCGCCACCACATTCCGAACATTAAGACTTCTAAGAGGTACCTGATCGACTAAGAGTTCCCTTCAATTATGTGAAAAAGTAAACCCTTTAGCTTGGAGAAACGTCTTATGCGTTGTCTAACTGCCATTTGCAGCATAGTTATCAGGATTTTTAATGAATGTACAATTCATTATTGATTGCCACTGATGTGTTGTCGAAGAGCGGCCAGCTGATTTTGTTCCTATGCGTTTTGCATAAATTGTTACAAAAGAGTGTTATGGTTTGTACAAAATAAAATCAGCTTGCGTGAAAATGTAAAATCAGCTTTCAGACCTCTCCTCATTCTGACGCACAGCCGTAGAACGTCTGTCAAGGTGGCAGCCAATAAATTTTAGGATGTAAGGGTTTCTGGCTAGGTTTGGAGTAGAAGGAGGCACACCGTGGCCGGTGGCCCATTTTGTTTACCCGTCAGTTGACTAGCAGTTTGCGCGAAGGGAGAGTTTCGAAAAAGAACAAAGCAACTGATTCAAAATACACTGATTTAATTCGTTGCTTAGTACAAGGAGGACTGGCTAAAACAACGCCAGTGTTTCAAAAGTTATTTTCTGGTAACTATGCGCATGGCTTTTGTTTTTTCACTTTAACATTACTATTTCTGCAAGGTAACTTCGGAAGACTTGAATCCCCAGACCTTGTTCAGGTAATGCAAGATGAGTAAAAGAAACTTCTCGCCGTGTTTCTTCGGAAAAATGCGTCCGGAATCAAAACTCAGACTAATGCGGTGATTTAAGAAAGAGGAGTTGAGATTCTGTGCAAATCTTAGTTGTCACTGTACCAAACAAAATGTTGGACGGTGTTTGATTCAACTGAATGCCAGCCTGGCAGCGAAGCAGCTCTTGACACCGCCCTACGTAACTTTTTATGATGTTTAGCATAAAAATTCGTGGCCTATGTTGGCTTTTTATCATCAACTTGAAAGTTGGTGTTGAGGGGGAGGGAGTTCGCAATCTTAAATGCGACAAGGAATCCGACACCACGGCTTTCGCAACTCGAACTGCATATTACGCAGACGAACTGGAGCGACTCGAGTTTAGTAGTTGCCTTTTTTCTCTTGGGAGCGTCGTAAAACGCCGAAATGGTCGCAGGGGGTACGGTGAGGGGAAGTGACCATCTGACCGTTGCATTTACCCCTACGATCCCACAAAAGTTCGCTGCAGTGCATACAACCGTACCATGCCCGCTACTCCCTGTGCATCGCTATTTCACATTGGTTAAATAGAGTAAAAATTCTTATGAGATAGGGTTGTTTGCGTGCGTGGGTCGCTGTGTGGCGTGGTGCTCTGAGCGTACGCGCACTGTAGAGAAGCAAAATCAAGTTTATGACTTACTGATGATGAATCGTGCAAACAGCAAATAAACAGCACGAAGTTTGGCGCTTGGAATCTATCGAGTCTGTGAGCTTGCCGAGCAAGAGTCGTTAGAGCAGAGAATGGTCGATGAGGCCCGGGAGTGTACCAGACGAGATCGAGTCCCAAAAACCTCGAAGAGCCTGTCGAGAAGACTAAGAGCCGTCGTCCAGGTG